AAAAAATGAAGCTGCTAGCTGAAATCCAGGCAGCTAATTGCAATGTCGAAATACACATTTGGAAACATCATTTACTAGCTACTAGCCTGCAATTCTGTCCAGCAAGCCTTGTGATTCAGATGTTCCTATGAAACAGCACAGCATGGTGATCTTACCTCTCAACTGCACAGCTATGCAACAGACTTGGTCAATAACCTGCCTCCAGCCTACTGACTGTGTACATAAGACACAGGAGCATTTAGGAGACTATCACTCCAACTTCTTCTCCTTTCAGCAAGCTACTAGGGTGAGACTGACTTCACTGGGCAGTGACATAGAGCCTGGTTGGCTGAAAATACTTGTTTTCCCAGTGTCAGTTTTGAAGCAACTCAGTTGCAAAAATAAAACTTCTAGTTAAAGTTGTCCCTGCAAAGAAGAGAGTAGATACTCATCTCCGCCACAGCCCCTACCGCTGAACACTGCTGTGATGATGAATCCCTGGGAATCCCCGACTCTTCAGAAACTGGAGAGTATTAGCTTTCTTCCTTGCAGGGACAGCTTTTATTAGAAGTTTCAATATGACAACAGCAGAGTGTTGCAGGAGGCTGCTATCAGAAATAGTTTATGTACTTGTAGCCCCCATCACCTTCTGGTATGTGGCTATTAGACATTTAGTGATAGCCAGGGCTGTAGTCAGCCTGGCTGGATTTATAGTGGCAATTATCTGGTTAATTCCAGGCGGAGTGTGACTTTGTCATATTGTTGGACAGCCAATGAAAGGCACTGTAGAGTATGTACAGTACAGCAGCCAATCACTGGGTTTCTCTCAACCAGTGGTGCATGCTGGGATAGGGTGCATATACTGGTGGGATTTGCCATGTGCTCAGACTAGCCGGGACCAGCCATGGAATAGGGCTGGGTGCTGTTCAGCCTGCCCCCCAGGCTAGGCCTAGGGCCTGGGGGTGCGCATGGGCTGGTGTGAGGGCCTCCAACATGGAAGAGGCCTGTGATGCTGATAGAGGAAGAGAACCGGGACCAATGCAGGCTCTTGAAGTACCCTGGAACTAAGAGGACTTCAGGAGTATGGTCGGTGTCTTTCCTGCTTGAGGATCTGTATCCTTCCTGCTTAGCTGCTACATCAGTTGCTGTCTGCTGCCTCCCAAGTGGATCTACTCTGATATTCCTACAAGATCTGGTGAGTCTGGAGCTCTTGTTGGTTACCCCTGGACACCTAGAATCCCTATAACCTCTCTCCCCAGTGAAGATGTTTAATAAAAGGTTATTCAGCATTTTACTACTGGAGTGGACATCAGTTTATGGGCACCAGAAGAAGGGCGGTTAGTGCTAATGGGTGGGCAGCCGAAGAACATACCCTAGACCAGGGGTGCCCACAAGGTCGATCGCAATCTACCAGTAGATCGCGTAGCGATCACTGGTAGATCGCACTGTCCTCTCCTCCCGCCGCTTCTCTGGATCCCCCTGTGGGTGTGGAGCTGTATTGAAGTCAATGGCATCGCCCACATTGCGATCGCCCGCACTCGGAACGCAGGCACATTAGTGCCTGCATTCCGGTCCAGTGCGATCTGCAAAAATAGTGCTCGCAGAATTTTTGCAGATCGCACTGGACTGGAACACAGGCACTAATGCAGGCGATCGCACTGTGGGCGAGGGGCCTGCCTGTGGAGCCTGGCTGCGGTGACATTGACTTCAATGCACCGCCACGCCCCCTCCCGCCCCTGAATGCAGGTGTTTTTTCGTTGGTAGATCTCAATGAGCTCGTCATTTGAAAAGTAGATCTCCAGACAAAAAATAGCAGGCGCCCCTGCCCTAGACAAACTAGAGATGAACCGGGCATTCAGCGGCTCCTTCGGGGGGTGAGCGCTACATACTTAACATTTTTGAAAATGACCCTGTCGCTATAGAAGAGTGTTTTAACCAAGGCATACCTGAAAAAAGAGAAAGGACATACTCAACTTTACTACTACCTATGCCACTGAACTACACCCTGATGCTGAAAAATCTTACACTGAAACTGACACTTCTGGAGTGTTATTATTATAATACAGGATTTATATAACGCCAACAGTTTGCTTAGCACTTTCCAAAATGGGGGAGACAGTACAGTTACAATACAATTTCAGTACAATAGGGTTAGGAGGGCCCTGCTTGTGAGAGCTTACAAACTAGTCCTGGGTTTCCTGTAGTTGTCACTGGTTCCACCAGCTGACCTCCACATCACTTCTGTATCCTGTAATAGGTGGAGGTCAGTGGGAGAAATTGGAGAGAGCAGTCGAGGGCTCAGGAGACCAAGGAACCCAGAAGTGGCGGTTTCAGTGCAGACATTACCAGAAGAGCTCTCAACATTGGAACATAGTTCAGTGGCTGAGTCAAACATTTTTAGAGTGACAGGGTCACTTAAAGAAGAACCCAGGGCAAAAATGTTATTAACCTTTGTAGTGGAGCTACCTCCGCACTGCAAGGGTTAGCTGTAAGGATGCACCGATACTTTTCAGATACCATTGCCGATACTTGGCATTTTCATGATAACTAACAGGGTTGCAGTGGTTGCAGCTGGGACCTGGCTCTGGCGCTCCACCACTGTCCTGAAATCATTAGTCGATATTGTTTTAGAAAAACTGTCACATGACAATAAACAAAAATTTATCAGTACTTGTATCTGTGAGGACTTGGACAAGTACCAGTACTCGTACTCGCAAAACTGGTATCAGTGCATCCCTTTACTTATATTTATAAAAACAAAATGATACATTAAAACAGAGATGTACAAATCCCAGGAGCTCCGTGTGCTCCTTACAAATGACAGCAGCCTCCTAACTTTAGAATTTTTCTCTGGTCTATTCTTGGAGCTCAAAAGTATCTGTACTTGTACTGAGTACGGTACTTGGTATCGGTGCATCCCTAGTTAGCTTCTCATTTTGGTCTAGGGAGGAAAATAGCAAAGTTATACTCACCGATTCTCTGAGCCGGCTGGATGTGACAGCGATTCTTCCTTCCTGTCTCCTCCTCCGCTGCAGTCATGTTATGTGTGTCTGTGTCCTCACATCCTTTACACTATGTATAGAACATGATGACTCACGGATCTTAGACTGCTGTAGCTGAAGGGGAACCAGGCTGGAAGGGCCTGTCAAAGAGCAAGTTGGCTTGGAGGATCGGATGACTATAAATTTTTTTTTATTTTACTACCTAGACCAAAATGAGCAGTTAACCCTTGCAGTGTGGTATTAGCCCCACTGCAAGGGTTACTACAAACTTTGCCTGGAGTTCTTCTTTAATTATACATAAATGCATACACATCCATTTCAAACAGCGTTATTTGTTTCCAACTTTGATCCCATGTATAGTTATGTGGTTCTATGTAGATTACAGCAATGCATACAATAGTATTCCTATAAAAGCTAACATAGAATAATTAGGAAATAGCTCAGCTTTAAAATCAATAACTAAAAGCTGAACAAGTGCATCACTGACTGACAGCAAGATGCACTAATTGATTTTTGGTTACTGAATTACGGTAAAGACGGTCCACTTTCAACTGACATGTCAGACAATATTAAAGACTCCTCCAGGCATTTGTACATTTTGTTTAGTGAGTAAGGAGTCTGTTTAAGATATGTCTGTACATGTTCTCTGTCATTTTCCCAGAAATCAAACCCTATCAGCCCAGTGTAGCAAATAATTCCAATTCTACATTCAGATGAGCACAGAAATACTTGTCATATTTATAAGGAATATGTGGAGAAATTGGTTCCGTTGCACTATAAAAAGAAGCAGGCCATCCTACGCAAACCACTGGTATGTTTACAAAGTATATTTTGTGGTCTTTAGATGGACAATACAGACAAAAGTCTCATACCCTGGACTTCCATCAGCAGTGCTTTTGAACAAATAGCTATCTATTTGACATGAACAATATTACAGTATATGCTGGGCTGGTGGCCCTGAGTGAGAGAGATACAACCCCATTCAAAGCTCAGTCAGAGAAGGATCCACAGTCAGTGGAATATTCTGGCCATTATAAAGCTACCTAGTTCTGACCTGTGATCTCAGTGCCTGAGAAAAGGAAGTCTTCCAGCAACAACTTCCTTTGCAGATCTAAGAAGTTTTGTGTCTAAATGCTGAGAGGCACGAAGGAAGCTGATGCTGAAAGATGTGAAATGGTGTGTCACAAAAAGCCATGTCCATCAGGAACACTCAGCTTTTACCATGTCTACCAATCAGTGAGCCGAACTCTTTCCATGGGACACTTTCTTTAGCTCATGGAAATCTGTCCTATCATGAAAGGGCTAGTCAAGTGTGTTTACTCCACAGGTAAGCAATATGTGGTCATTAAAAAGAGAAGTAAAGCCAACTATTTTCCTTGGCTTTAGTCCTCTTTTACGTACATGTACTAATGTACTCCTCTGACCCAAAGTCAGCAGAGAGTAGGCTAATGCCACGCCACAGCCTGGAAGGATCCTGACAAAATTGTGACAGCTAGTGACAGCCTCTCTAGAGCCAGCTGTGCCCACCCACTCCCTTGTCTGTCCCTCCAGTAAGGAGGAACACAGATGGGAGGGGGGAATCCCTAATGGGGAGTGGTGACTGACATTGAGATGAGCCATTAGCTGTTACATGATCACTCGGGTTTTGGTATAGAGCCAGTGTGTGACAGATGCAGTGTCCCATGCAGGCTCTAAGCAGCAGAGAGAGTATGTTTTACTCTCTATGCTTTTGTCCTTTAATAATAATTCAGATGCTATTCAGATAGTGCAAAGGCTGTGGAGGTGATACACAACTAAGCAAAGTGTGGGATATACTGACTTAGACATATACCTGACATCTCTGGTGACAATTGTGCCGTCATCTTTTCATTGCCATTTGTAGACACAAGGTAACATTAGGCACTGAGTTTGATTAAAGCATGCACTGTGGAATGTGAAACAAATACCTGATCATATGCTTAACACAGATATTTTATAATGAAATATTATTTAGACAAAATCATTTGATAATAAGCTTACCTTTAAAAGCTGCCCAGTGCAGTGCAGTGTCTCCCTCTAAGTCACATAAATGTACTTTAGCACCTTTTCCAATGAGATAGCAGCAGAGTGCTGTTTGTCCATATTGTGCCGCTGTGATCAAAGGGGTGCAGCCTTTCTGATCTTCCACGTCTAATGGAACTCCTGCCTTCACAAGCAGGTCCACTACAGCAATGCATCCATTCACTGCAGCCCAGTGAATGGGGTGCTGGCCTGGCTCAGATTGGCTAGGTAGGCCCACTGGTCCCTTACAGTCCACAAAGAGTCCTATCAGCTCTATAGATCCAGCCAGAGCAGCCCAATGAACTGGTGTGTGCCCCTTTTCATCATAATTTCCCAGAATTGAAGGACCGTCCTCATCAATAAACTGCTGGCATTTCTTAACATCACTGCAATACAAAGAAGGAACATGAGGCCATGGTCTCAGGTGACATATATCAGTGAAAGGAAACTACAAAGAAACTTTCATGTCCAACTCCAGCCAATTTCAGTCAGATTTTGACTTCTGTCTGTGACCCCGCTGGGGAGATTTTCCCTCACTTTCTTTCCCTGTGATGCCTGGATGTGAAATAAGGGTGGTGGTGACTGGGATAGGAGGCCAGAATACCCCAACAGCTGATTGACTGCAGTCACCGTTCAGCTGAGATTTTTTGGGGCCGGCTCCTTCGACAAAACTCATTTTGTCCAATGAAGAGGCGCTAACATGTCAAAGAAAGGAGAGGTTCATGCTGGAATTTGAACAATAAAGTTGGAAGGAGAACCTAGTGCTGCCTTGTATGCGCTCTGTGAACGTAGTCATGTATTACCCTGCCTTGTGATGAATGGGCTTCCTTAATGCACCGCAACTGACCATTGTGATGTGAATGGGTCCTTAGGCTATAACCAGATTCCAGCTATCATTGTTCTAGTGTAGTTTAGGAACACATGATTGATAGCTAAAGTTTAAATCTCTACTGTTCCTCTTCCTTTTTTACAGTACACTGTATCTTCAGATCTGAAAATGACAGAGAAAAAGAGCATGCCTGCTTTGCTGGCCACATGCAGACATTTGATGTGTACTTGTCTGATTCTTATCCAGGATATGAGTAGAAAAGCAATGTTTCTGGTGTAGCCCATAGTATTTATCAGGGATAAACCCCACTGCCAATTGTAGAAACTGGTTCCTCCATAAAAAAGGGGTATGTTCTCTCAAACATTGGGAAGATTAAAGTTTATCTAATGCCCCCAATTTGTTTTGGATATGCTAGGGAATGTTTAGAAAACCTGTGAGGTGTCTTTCTTGTCTGTCTTTTCTTTTCCTGGGGAAACAACATGAATGGAGAGGAAAGTTCTGCTAAGTCAGACTTTTGTTCTTGAACATTTGTCACCAAAAACAGATTTTCCCATTGGAAGGTTTCCCCTCACCCCTTGTTCTGGTGCCAACTCTGAAATTGTGGATTTCCCATCACTTTCTGTCAAATCACTAGAACAAACAGACTGGCGAAGGTCACCGGCGGGGACACTTGACGCAGGGTGTAAACCTTCCATGCTACTTCGAATATAGGGTTGCCACTTGTCCAGGATTGACTCGGACACTAGAGTTTTTGAGTCCTGTGTCTGGGTTTCAGGCCAGCTGATAATTTTTTTGACAGGTGTCACGAAGACGGAAGAGGAGATGTGCGATCCTGTGGCTAACAGAAAGGCTGCCGAGGTCCCCAGCAAGCGTGGGACCTTGGCAGCCTTCCTGTGAGCCACAGGCGCATGTAAACAGGTGCCGGCCCGCACATCTGCTCCTACGTCTTCCTGACACCACTCTGCCTGCCTCCAGACCCGTGGTGAGACACCGTACAACACTCCGGGAAGTCTGCATAGCCCACATAGCCACCCGAGACCCCACACAGCCACTTGAAAGCCCACATAGCCCACCTGAGAGCCTCCACAGCTCATCTGACAGCCTGCAGAGTCCACATGAGAGCCCGCACAGGCCACCTGAGACCCTGGAGACATCAGGGAGCCAGCCCGGAACAACACACATGTCGCTTGATATTTATTTTGTATTGCTGTATAATGTATTGCTGGAACATGTAGTCCTCTATAGCTGGTCTCTTTAATCCCTCCCTTGGCTGTCTCTTCTTGCTCTTGCTCCTGGCTACCTCTCCTCGCTCTCTCCTCTATATTCTCCAAAAAAGAAAACTGCGGTGCTAGATGGTTCGGGTTTCACTTGAAGAAAAGGTGGCAACCCTAATTGAAGGCTTAATAAAAGCTTTGACTTTAGTGTACATCTAAAGCCAAAGCTTTTGTAGGATATTGGATAGAGTAAGTGAGGGTTAAAACAACTGTCAGTTTTTTTTCTGTGTTGCATTAGGGAGATTTCCTGTCACTTTGCATCCCTTAGACTCAACAGGAAGTGAGAGGATATGTTTCCAATATGATATCTATCCAAAGAAAAAAATGCCTTGGCATGCAATAGTACACTTTAAAGTGTCTTTCCACCTTTGCAGCTAAATTGTGCATGTTCCTGTTCACATAGCATAACTTAAACAAAAATATAAGAAATAATGAAATTGCTGCATACATTTTTGCTTTGGGGGGAGGGATCTTTGCTATAATTTACCCTGCCTGCACTGGTCTGGCACATATTCATTATCAGTTGTAAACTAGATGCTCAGGACTGTCTGTCCCAACAAGGGGTTAAAGGTCTCAAGGCTTAGGCGGTACATTGTACACTGTCCCTCCAGTCTGTCCCTTATCTGCACATCTTGCCATCTATTCAAAGCAATAGAAGCTGCTTGTAGTGTCCTATGTATAACCCTACTCCAAAGAAACAACTAGAAATGTAAGAAATATTTTTTTTTATTCTTTTTAGGTGCTGTGTAAATGGGAAGCATAAAGTGGGCATCAAATCTGACTGCAAAGGTGGAAATAGACTTTAAGGTTTCACTAAACTCAACAGTTAAATCTTAAAAATACATTCCTTAAAGGAGAATTATGAGGTGAGTGCTTTGCACTCAGCCTCATAATCTGAGCCGGCCTGTGACAATGAGACTGTCACAGGTCAGCTCAGTCGATCGGGAAGTGAGCGAACACATACCGGCGCTCGCTCACTTCTCGATCTATCCCCGCAGGTGAGCCGTGACAGGGGAGTGACTGGATTCCCCCCTCCCTGCTCTGATCCTCCAGCGCTGACTGGCGGAACGGACGGGGGAGGGGCGGGTACAGCTGGCTCTGCCTCTAGATAGGCAGAGCCCGCTGTCACTCACGCTGCTGGCTGGATCCAGACATGATTGTCGGGATCCGTTTCAGCTGCGGCGTCTCAGTATAACGCGAGCTGCAGCTCGCGGTATACTGAGCTTTCGGAGACGGGAGGATGCTAGTTTGTGTCCTCCAATTACCCTTAGGAGAACTATGGGGAAAAGCCCTAACCCCATAGTTCTCCTTTAACTATAACCAAAAATGTATCCTATTTGTGTATCACTCAGCTGGAGATCCTCAAATCATCTCTGAATTGGTGCTGACACTGTCCTTCCTTCTGGAGGGGGGCTACTTGTGTTCCCCATGGTCCCTGTGTGTGTTGTAAAGTAGCCACTGCTCTAAACTCACTTCTGTGATGGACTACAATCTCATATTTAGTTTACTCATTTGTATTGAGATTGTAGTCCATCACGGGAGTGAGCTTGGAGCGGTGGCTTCTTTACAACACACACAGGGACCATGGGGAACACAAGTAGCCCCCCTCCAGAAGGAAGGACAGTGTCAGCACCAATTCAGAGATGATTTGAGGATCTACAGCCGAGTGATACACAAATAAGATACATTTTTGTTAATAGTTGAGGTACTTGAATGTATTTTTAAGATTTAACCCCTGAGTTTAGAATCACTTTAAGCTAGGTGCCTGAGGGAGAAATGGTATAGCCTGCGCTAAAGCATGCGTTTTTACACATCCCTATATTTTCCATATTTTAAATCCAAAAATGTATTAATATTAAAATTACTCAATGATGATTTTATTATTCGGAACTAGTTAGTAGCAGGTAAAGTCCTTACAAAATGTCTATACTTACTAACCACTAGTTAACAGAAAGATGAGTGTAGTGAGCAGGGAATTCTAGCCATATTTACTGCACGGTATAGAAGAGACATATAACATGCTTACCATTCCTTGACTGCCTGGAATATATGCGATGTGCTGCTGTCCATGTGGACTGCGTGCCCCTGAGGTCCCTGCTGGTTAGTGCCTGAGAAGTTCTGTGTACTGAGGGTCAGGTGTTCAGTGCTGTGTGGATTCTGTTCTCTGTGGGTTCCGTGCTGTGTGGATTCTGTTCTCTGTGGGTTCCGTGCTGTGTGGATTCTGTTCTCTGTGGGTTCCGTGCTGTGTGGATTCTGTTCTCTGTGGGCTCAGTGCTGTGTGGATTCTGTTCTCTGTGGGCTCAGTGCTGTGTGGATTCTGTTCTCTGTGGCTTCAGTGCTGTGTGAATTCTGTTCTCTGTGGGTTCAGTGTTGTGTTGATTCTGTTCTCTGTGGGTTCTGTATTGTTTAGGTTCTCTGCTCTGTGAATTTTGCTATATGTGGGTTCAGTGATCTGCAGTTTCTAAGCTCTCTGTGGGTTCTGTGCTCTGTGGTGTATGTGCTCTGTGGATTTAGTTCTCCGTGGGTTCTGTGCTCTGTCAATTATGCTCTCTGTTGGTTTTGTGCTGTGTGGGTTCCGTGCTGTGTAGTTTGTGTGCTGTGTGTTCAGTGCTGTGTAGTTTGTGTGTTTTCTGTTCTCTGTGGGTTCAGTGCTGTGTAGTTTGTGTGTTTTCTGTTCTCTGTGGGTTCTGTGCTGTGTAGTTTGTGTTCTGTGTTCAGTGCTGTGTAGTTTGTGTGCTTTGTGTTCTCTGTGGATTCAGTGCTGTGTAGTTTGTGTGCTGTGTGTTCTCTGTGGGTTCAGTGCTGTGTAGTTTGTGTACTGTGTGTTTTCTGTGGGTTCTATGCTGTGTAGTTTGTGTGCTGTGTGTTCTCTGTGGGTTCTGTGCTGTGTAGTTTGTGTGCTGTGTGTTCTCTGTGGGGTTTGTGTGGGTCCTGTGCTCCTCAGTCTGTGGAGAACGATGTTCTCCTCACACAGACTCTTCCACTTCCTGGCTAACGTTCCATCCAGTACGAACACAGGGCGGCTCGTCTGTGTCTCCCGAGCTCCGTCCAGCTGATCAGTCCGCTGTGTACTAGTCCGGGCAAACTTTCTGTATGGAGTGTGTGTCTGCAGGTGTCCAGCCAGCTCTGAGATCCCGTCCGACCAGAATCCCGGCTTTCTCCCTTGGAGATAATGATCACATGGCAACACTAACAACTCCTCATATAATAATGGAGGAGAGCCGGGGACACAACACAGCACCGCGTCCAGCAGCGTCACTCTGACCCTATCATTATAGACGTGTGTGTAAACATAGCATTCTATTCTACAAACACCCTGTACTGCTGGAGTCCACTCACTCCTCACCCCTATGTATACTATACCATTGCCATCATGTAGGGACCTTCTACGGTTCGAACTGTCATACTAACCCAATGACCTACAACAAACATACATACTATGGTTACTGACTTCACTTGTGTGTTCCAGATCAGTGACACAAACATAGGATCAGCATGACAGCCAGGAGACTAGCACCTAAAGGTGCCCATACACTGCTCGATTCTCGTACGAGAATCGCGGGAAATCCCACGATCGTACGAGAATCGAGCAGTGTGAACGAAGACGTGCGACCGTTTCTACTGTACGGTCGCACGTCTTTTGTCGAACCAGCATGCTCGAAAACCCGCCGAGAATCGTACGATTGTTGGCGGGTTTCTAGCCTGCTCGTTCGATAGCTGTGGAATGGGCCGGTGTGTGCACACGCGGGGCGGGCTTTCGATGATCGCAAGTACGATCTGCCTATCCAAGGTGGGCAGATCGTACGAGCTTTCAATAAGCATACGACCATCGCAAGACTAAAGTCTTGTGATGGTCGTAAGGTGTATGGGCACCTTAAGAATCAATCACAACCTCCTCAGCACCCCAGCCAGGCTTTTCATTAATAACCGACATGTCCCTTCTCATCATTTATGTGGCTATTAATAACTTGCAGTCTGGAGCATTGTCTTACTATTTGCACATACATGATAAAATCTGAATTTTTGGCTAGAAAACGGCTTCAGACCCCCAAACAATGATATATTTTCTGCAAGCAGAGGGCCTGTAGAATAAAAAGATGCTAGTTGCAATTTTTTATGTCCCCAGTGTCACGGGGTCTGAAAGCACTGGCCCTGAGCTGTCAACGCCGGTCGGCGCACCCCCTCGATGACATTCCACTCGCCCCCACGCAATTTTCACTTGCCAATTGCGAGGGGGCGAGTGGAAATTTTGAGGCCTGCATTATACCACTTGGGCCGGTGAGTTTGCCCAAGATGCATCAAGCTTCTGTCTTATCTTAAACTTATATATATGCACTATGTGGCTCTCCGTTAACCCCCCCATCTCGCTACCAGAAATGTGCCCATTGAAATTTACTGATATTATGTTGCAATCAGGTCCTTACATGAAATGGAATGGACAGGTGCTGCTACTTCAAATATTAAGCTAATACTTATATTTAAATCACCCTTAGGGCTTTGTTGTTTTACTATACTATGTAAATACATTTATAATCCAGCAAGTTATTATTCTGAGTTGCCCCACGCAAGCGGCGGCCATATTGAGTGGGGCACGTGAGATTAATAACGTGCTGGATTATTGTGATCCTAGTTCATTTTATTACTTCATTGCTGTGCTGTATGTGTATAGGCCAATGTAGTTGGATCTGTATGTGCGTTATAATTAATCGAAATTAATCGATTAAAAAAACATTTGATTAATCGAACACGAACATTTTAATCATTACCAGCCCTAGTAAAAACATTACAGGGGTTCCAAATTTTGTATCACTTTAACCAACGCTGAACATTTTTTTGGCTTTAGATAAACTTTAACTGTTTCCACAATTTCACCCTCTCTCCATTGCAGCAGATGAGAAATCAGCCTGTGATTGTTTAGATTGATGCTGGGAACACAGTTCAGAAAAAATAGGCTCAAACATTCTTTGTGTCTTCAAGGTCCCATATTACTACATGGCAGAACCCAGTACTTCAAATGGGTAAACCTTCCTGGGTGTGCTGTAAAATTCTAAGTTGCCAGTGCAATGTAAACACCATAAACAAATAATTATAATTGTCATTTGTAATATTGTTTACATAACAGCAACTACTTGGGAAAAGATCAGAGGGCAATGTAATGAAGAGTGAAATTTTAATACCAATGTTAAGAACCAAACAGAAAAAATTAAACCGAGATTACGATGATACAATTTTTCACTAAACCTGATGAAATGTTTCATTGAAATACATGCTGTGATGGTATGAAGTATATACTATGCCGCTGTGCGTACATTTTCCTGAATATCTGAGTAATGATAAACTAGCTTCTAATGCAGCATCAAAAGGCTGAAATAATGCTGAAAACTTGTCAGAGATGAGTGAATGTAGGTGTGAGAGGGCCATCTAGTGTAGAAAATGTGCACTGCAATCACTGGTGACACTAAACTCAGGAATTAAATCTTATATGTGCATTCAAGTACCCCAACTATGAACAAAAATGTATCTTATTTGTGTATCACTCGGCTGTAGATCCTCTAATCACCTCTGAATTCATGCTGACACTGTTTTTCCTTCTGGAGGGTGGATACTTTTCCCCATGGTCCCTGTGTGTGTTGTAAAGCTTGCGCCCATGATGGATTACAATCTCAATACAAATTAGTAAACTAAGCGTGAGATTGTAGTCCATCACAGGAATGAGCTTGGAGCTGTGACTATTTTACAACGCACACGGACCATGGGGAACAAAAGTATCCCCCCCTCCAGAAGGAAGGACAGTGTCAGCACCAATTCAGAGATTTTCTGAGGATCTACAGCTGAGTGATCTACAGCCGACTGATTTTTGTTGATAGTTATGGTACTTAAATGCATTTTTAAGATTTAATTAGTGAGTTTAGTGTCACTTGAAAAGGAAGCAGCAGTGAGGCTGCCATAGCTAAAATAAAAATGGTGAAACCTAAAATGAGATATATGATGCATTCTGTTGTAGTGATGTGATCATTTCCTGGCCATTTTACAAGTGCATATACTTCTGTTATGAGATGTTTGGTTTGCCCTTTTCAAATATGACTGCTGTGCTCTCTGCATTGAGTGATGAGGTCTGGGGAATTGGCAAGAATTGTGGGGTAAGAAGAGACAAAAAAGGGGAGCACATGTAGAAAGAATAGTGGATGTCTGTGAGAACACAGACAGAACCTTCCCTGTTTGCATTGTCTCCCCTATCTAATATACAGTATAGGTCCATTATTTGTTTCACCTCCATGTCAGAAATCTTCCCTCTTTGCTGTGCCTCTGCCTCTCATATGTCATCTCTCCGCTGCTTCACACTCTTTTTTTTTTAATTACTTTTTATTCAGTTTTACATATATAATACACGTTAAACAGCATTCTCCTACAACAGTAGGGGTACATTCTTAGTTACTAACATACCATAACTTCACCTTCTATTCCTACATTACAGAAACCCCCCACCCCAAGAGACATGTGCCAGATCGAGCCCCAAGACTGAGTATACTAACAAAACGAGACGGCTCAGTATCCACCAGTGCCAAAAGGTGCGCCTCCAGACCCCAAGTCCCCCATAATTCAATTGGACGGGCACTTATAGGAATTCAAGGGGGCTAGCTGCTCCATGGAATGACAGCACACCCAGGTATAGGCTAGACAGCAGTGGTGGGGAATTTTATGATGATGAGGGATAGTTCAATTGGGACAACCTCTATCATACTTTAAGGCTTCTCAAAGTGTCCCAACCCTATCCCCTACCCGCATTAAGCTAAAGTAATCCAACCATCCCAAATCTTATCAAACTTCCCCGGGCATCCTCTGCTAATGTAGGCTGCTTTGTACAGATGCAGAGAGGAATCAATAATGCCTTTCCACTCCTCCAGGGAGGGAGGGTCTTTCCGCTTCCAGTATAGGACCACTAACTTTCTTGCGTAGAACAACAACACCCCAGCCAGTATGAGCAAGGCAGTTGTAGGGGCGACCTGCTCAGTGAGCCCCAATAAACACACAGAGATAGTTAGTGGAACAGGTAGTACTATCACCTGCGTGATGAGGTCTGTAACTAATGTCCAG